GCACCAAACGCACACATAACGTGCGTTCTTCAATAGGTTCAACTACGTGTCCCAAACTCTGGACGCAGAGTTGAGCTTCAACGCACACGGCCTGTGCGTCTCAAATCTCTAACAGAGATTTAACTCTGCATCTCAAGCCTTGGACGCAGAGTTAAAGCCCATAACGCCAACTGAGGCGTTTTGACTTGTTCAAACGCAAGTCGAACGGCCTCAAAACCGTTATCCCACGTTCTGAGGGATTCTCGCCCACAAAGGAGCGGAAATAGGGGTTGGTTACACTCCACATCACCCTATAAATAACCAACTTACTCAACTGAGTAAGGGGTTGGCGGGTTGATAGGTTGATCAATCGGTTTCTGAGATCAAAAACCGCAAAGAGTTGAGGGGAGCTGGTATCAAAACCACCCAAGGTCAACAAATCTCGGCAGTTGAGTAATCGGAAGGAAGAGATCTTCGGGAGATCAAGGAACTGATCAACGATCAGTTAATCAAATCCCGAAGGATCCTTTCATCAAAGGTATCATCCACTTGGCAATTAACCGAATTTTCGGTTCCAACAACTCTGTTACAGAGTTTTAACTCATTCTGAGTTCTTAAACTCGTTAAGAGTTCTTAATTAGCTTGCAACGCAAGTTAATCACATCAAACCAGACATTCGGTTTTCAACAACTCTTATCAGAGTTCTTAACTCGTTCAGAGTTCTTTACACTCGTTAAGAGTTCTAAACCGAAGTCATCAAGCACTTCAATTGTTCCAGTAAAGAAGGACGGTCGGATCGTCAACGGAGAGCAAGTTCGACGCGATCAATCGAAGGAGGCACTCCACCGCTACCAAGAAGAACCCAGTTTTAAACAAAGGGGAGAATCAAATTCATTCTCCTCTCTTTTGTAATCGGAATCCAAATTGTAATCGATTTTGAGAGAATACAAGTCAAATTTTCTTTCTTTGTCTTTTTACATCAAATTTCCAACAAACAAAGGGTGATGAAATCCTTCACCTTATCTTGATTAGGAGGTTTTGCCCTTAAGAATATTTTCAAGTTTGTGCCAAATCAAGATGCTCAAATTACTTGGTGAATTCCTACTAATATATGAAATACAACCCTATGAATTAAAAGTAAATAAAAAGGATGGTAAAAATAAAAATCTTTTTTTAATTAGGGTTAACAATCAAACAAATGAGAATGGGAAAATTGTTTGAATTTATTATCTTGTTAGTAAATGTCATAGTGGAGGGTGAATTTTATTATGATCAACGAAAATAAAATCTTTTTTTAGATCCTAATTGTCACTAATTGTGAAAAACTAGCTAAAGGTGTGGAATTGAAAATACTAGAAAGAAGAGTTACCTTAAGCAAATCCAAAATGTAGATTAGACCTCAAGCAAATCTTCAAATCATCGATCTTTAATCCTTAATGTTCAAGCTCCAAGCGGTTCCTCACAAAAAAAAAACACACAATTTAAAGAACCAAAATAATTAAAACCTACTTAAGCACCCTCCCCGGCAACGGCGTTAAAAACTTGATGCGGCATAAACATATATAAAAAATTGCAAGTGCACAATTTATCAAGTTAAAGTATAAAAAGTTATCAATCCTACGAGGAAGGTATTTGTAGGAGGAAATTAGATTTGGTTCTTATGTTTTGTGCGTGACTATTAGGAGTGATGAGTGAATGTGGTTGTGGAGAGATAGAGAGACTGTAAGTGATAGTGTGTAAATCGGCACGAAATGTAAGTGAAAGTTGATGTGATAAAGAATGAATGATTTTCATAAGGAAAGATGAATAAAATCAAGAATCAAAAAGGAGAATTAAGAATAAAAAGAAAATGAAAAAAATTAAAGATGACGGATTCAATTAAAGATATGGGTAATCTAGAATTGAATCCACTTCTTAGAAAAATGTGATTCCCTAGAGGGTTCTAGCCTAAAGGCGAATAAAAAAATGAAAATGAACAAAAGAAAACTAAACCCAAGAGGGTTCTAGCCTCAAGGTGAATAATGCAAGAAAATAAAATCTAAATTACAAAATAAATTACAAAAAATAAACTACAAAATAAATTACAAGAATTAAATGCGAGAAAATAAATCTACTCTATAAGCATGAAATAAATTTACTCTATAAGCATGAAATAAATCTAAGACAAGATGGTTCTAGCCTCTTGGCTATTTAAGCAAGAAAATAAAATCTAACTACAAGCATAGAAATAAATCTAAACTAATAAGTAATAAAAAAGAAATATAAGAAAAAATAAAAGAAATACAAACCTCGAAATAATTCTTCATCTCCATCTTCATCATCCAACAAAGAGAAGAAATATTTAAAGTGGTAAAAAAATTATTTTATTAATTGTAACAAAAGTTACAATTTAAAAGGCTTTCTCAATTAAGAGTGGCCCTTCTCTCCAAATGAAGTTACAAAAATTTTTACACCCCTAACCCCTCACTCCCTACCCCTATTTATAGTAAACATCAATTAATAAGAGCCCTTGGATTGAATCCTTATCCAAAATAATAAAAAATCAGCCATCGATCTGTAACTGATTCGTAGCCATCGATACCAACATCGATGCTGGCATCAATGCCGGTATCGATGCTAGCATCGATGCTGGGATCGAGGTCCAATAAAATATCTACATCCACAGATGGCTTCGTCTCGTTGAGATAGGTGATTTTCATATATTATATGTTAAATTCCTCCTTCCGGATTGAGAGATATCGTCGTTTCTTTGCGGCCAACCATCTTAGATACATTTTGTTTTCATATTTAATTTTTTTATTTTCTCTGGCTTCTAAAAGCTACTTGGCTTGATTCTGGGCTTGGGATTTTTGGCTCTTACTTGTGTTCATGAGCTTTTGTTGAGAGATGAGATTTTTGGGCTTTATTCTTCATTAACCTGCAATTAAAGATAAAAACAATTATTAGTGGTATATTTATTCATTAAAAATAGATAATGAGGGTATAAAATTGTAATAAAATGTGATTATCACCGTCAAACTTCTCGATATCCGACTTTGTAGTAGTTGTCGTGATCTTCTCGTCTGATCGATAGCTGAGGGCTCCGATACCAAATTGTTATGAAAAATTCCTCAGGATAAGATAATATCAATCACACGAGAGCACGAGAAATATCAAGAACACACGAACACAAAGATATATGTGGTTCGACTTGTAGCCTACATCCACGGGCGAAGGAGGAGAAAAACTTTACTAATTGTGAGGAATACAAACTAGAATCTCTCAATCCCAAATAACACCGCAAAAGCCTAATAAAATACTCAACTAAAGAAACAAAAGAGAAGAATATCAAATAGGCTTCACAAAAGATCTTTCTCTCTTCTTGATTGGTGCTCTAAAGATTGATGTATCTAATTGGCTTGAAAGACTGTTCTTATATAGCCTTGAAGATCCGAGCTCCTTGCTGTCTAAAGAATAAGAGTTCTAATTGGAATGGAAGTTCACATGTCCTAAAACCCAATAAGAGTCCAAGTAGGAATAAACATGTAATATGATTGGTTGTGCAAAGTCTAATGTAAGTAGGACTCTTGATCAAAACAAACCTGGCTAAAAAACTCTGAAAACAATATGGATTTGAGTTTGAGGCAACCTATAACAGTGTCACATGTTACTTGTGCAACTTTACATGCGTTTCTCGTGAAGTTTCAGCGGCGACAGACGCATCTCTTTATGCTCCAAAATTTTGTTTGCAAATTTACCATTTGGTTATTTTTATTGTTACGCTTGAAACCATTAGCATTTCAAATAGCTAATGTGTTTGCATGAACATGTTTGTGAATGAAATTATGAATTCTTATAAGATTTTGATAAGTAATCTAGTTTTCAGTCTCAAGAACAAACTCACAATAGTAGAAAATCTCACATCCTAGACGGAAAATTTTTCATCTAGTTTACTATTAAATTAGATGGAAAATTTCTATCTAGAATATTCCTTCTAAGAAAATATATCTTAGACGAAAATTTTCGTCTACAATAGTTTCCTAGACGGTTTTAGCATCCAGATAAAAACTTCCGTCTAGAATGTATCCTAAATGGAAAATTTCCTTCTTAGGAAGGTGAGTTCCATAAGAGTGCCCGCTTCCTTAAAAATTCCATTCCTAAATTTCGTTCCCCGCCTAAATTTCGAAAGAAATTTTCCTGAAACCTATCCACCCACCTCGATCCCAACAAAAATCCCCCCTCTCCAAATCCAGTAAGGGGCTGTTTGGTTGTATGTTTTTACCATGTAAAAGGATGGAAAGTGAAAAAGGTGGGTCCCAATGTCAGCTTGCATCACTTTACATTGTTTGTTTAAATTATATTTTACATGAAAAGCTTACATCTTTTGATGAGGTGTCACCGAAAACAAAATCACCAAAATTAGAAATGATTTTGTTGGAAAGCTGACACAATGTCATAAATGTGTCCAAAATAATAATAAAAAAGTCAAAGCCTTGTAGAAAGTGGTGAGGTGGATAACCACTTTCCATTTTGTGTCATAAATACTCTAGTTTACATTATACTATCCAAACAATGTAATACTATTATTTTAGGATTCACAAAGATTCCTAACCAAACAATGTAAACCCTCGAATGGAAAGGAGCTTTGCTATAGGGACCCAAAATATGAGACCAATAAGGGGGACAAGTGAGGTGTCCCCCTCCTATTGTATAATAAGTTAGTCATCATTAATGATGACCAACTCATTATCCAATAGAATGGACATAAGAAATAGTAATGTTCATGCTTATTCCTACTTGGATAATGTGTCGAAAAATTCCTCAATGACCTAAAATATGGGACCAATAGAGGGGACAAATGATGTGTCCTTTTTCTATTGGATAATGAGTTGGTCATCATTAATGATGACCAACTTATTATCCAATAGGAGGGGGATACCTCACTTGTCCCCTTATTGGTCCCATATTTTGGTTCCTTGTTGCAAAGCTCTTTTGTGTCATAAATACTTTGGTTTCTAGGCATCCAAACAGCCCCTAACATCCCTCCCTCTGTTTCGAAGCCCTAACCTTCAACATCCATGGCGGGTTCCTCGAGGCGATCGTCAGAGGTCACCGCGCCGGCCTCCTCACCGCCGCCGACTACAAAAACCTCTGCTAGTTCGAAACCCTAGACGACATCAAGATGCATCTCTCCGCCACCGAGTACGGCCCTTACCTCCAGAATGGTGAGCTCGATTTAAATCGGTTCCTCAGTTTGAAGTTCTGTTGATTCATCTGTACGCTAAATTGAACCCTAATTTTACAAATTATAGTGTTTCTAATGCTGTATGCTAGTGCTATTATTTTGCTGAGCAGGATGGAGGGATTTAGAGTTAGCAGAGCAAAAATTTAATACCTAAATTGTAATTTTGTTAAATCAATTAGAAAAGTGAGGGTATTGTAGCATACGCCAGTGTGAAACCCTAGACGCGACCAAGTACGGATGTTTCCTTTAGAACGACGAGTGCGATTTAAAAAAATTCCTTTGATCAAGATTTTTTTGAGTTGTCTGTAACCTAAATAGAACCCTAATTTTGTAGTTTATAGTGTGTTTGGTGTTGTAGCTAGCTGTATCATTTAGAAAATTTTTTGTTAGAAGACATTTGGTTGGGTAAAGAGGAGAGGAGCTCTCCCTTCAACATCCATGGCGGGTTCCTCGAGGCGATCGTCAGAGGTCACCGCGCCGGCCTCCTCACCGCCGCCGACTACAAAAACCTCTGCTAGTTCGAAACCCTAGACGACATCAAGATGCATCTCTCCGCCACCGAGTACGGCCCTTACCTCCAGAATGGTGAGCTCGATTTAAATCGGTTCCTCAGTTTGAAGTTCTGTTGATTCATCTGTACGCTAAATTGAACCCTAATTTTACAAATTATAGTGTTTCTAATGCTGTATGCTAGTGCTATTATTTTGCTGAGCAGGATGGAGGGATTTAGAGTTAGCAGAGCAAAAATTTAATACCTAAATTGTAATTTTGTTAAATCAATTAGAAAAGTGAGGGTATTGTAGCATACGCCAGTGTGAAACCCTAGACGCGACCAAGTACGGATGTTTCCTTTAGAACGACGAGTGCGATTTAAAAAAATTCCTTTGATCAAGATTTTTTTGAGTTGTCTGTAACCTAAATAGAACCCTAATTTTGTAGTTTATAGTGTGTTTGGTGTTGTAGCTAGCTGTATCATTTAGAAAATTTTTTGTTAGAAGACATTTGGTTGGGTAAAGAGGAGAGGAGCTCTCGAATATAATGTAATGGTAGTAAAATCACGGTAAAGATTAGTGCATAGTATAATATTGACAGTCCAAAACACTAGTCGATGTCCAATAAATCCCCGATAATATTGACCTTGGGAAATTCATTTAACCTTTGAGTTTTGGCAGAAGTACAAATACAAATAAACTCTATTGAAATTGTTGTTTCCAAAATTTTGGTCTTGGAACCCTGTAAACTTGTCACGTTGGATTTCTCCCATTCCTTATCTGAATGGACAGTGTTATAAACAGCCAGTCTACGTGTGTGTTAATGGACATTCTTGCTTTACTGTATTTGATGTTAATAAATCTTGTTCTCAAGCAGATCTCCTAAATTAAAGAGTTTGTCAATCCCGTGACGTGACACTTTTCTGTTTTCTGTTGGCATCTTCTTGCTTAGAGCCTTCACCCTTGCATACAACGACTATCGTAGAGAAATGCACTCTCAAACTTGTTGACGAGTACAAACATATGCTATGCCAAGCCACAGAGTCATTATCAACCTTTTTGGAATATATTACATATGTGTTTCTGTATCTGTCTTCAAAGCTCCTCCCTATATTTTATACCGCATTTAATGCACAATTTATTATTGCATTAATCAGATAATTTTACTAATTGATTGGTTTCTTCAGGATTTGGATGACATGAATATTGAAATTATGAGGAACACTCTGTACAAGGCATACCTCGAGGATTTCTACAAGTTTTGCCAGGTATTTTGTGTTCTATCGTTCATAAGAAATAGTAATTTTCATGCTGTTTGATAGTTTTGGTTTGTATTGTTGCAAATAGAAACTTTTCATGTTGTTTGATGATTTTGGTTTGTGTTGTTGCAAATAGAAACTAGGTGGTGCGACTGCTGAGATCATGTCTGATCTCCTTGCATTTGAAGCTGATAGAAGAGCTGTCAATATTACTATAAACTGCTTGGTTAATATATATTTCTGTTGATATATGGTGTTTTCATGTGCTAGTTCTAGTCCTTCATATTGATGATACATGCAGTTTAACATGTATCTACTACTTTGTTCCAGTTATAATCAGTCATGATATGTACACATTTCATTTCCTAGGTGTCTGCACATTTCAGTTAAATAAATCATTCATGATTTTATCGTGGTTTTCCGGTTGCAGTATTGGCACTGAGTTGACACATGATGACCGGCGAAAGCTTGGATGGCTTGCTAGTATGCAGGCAACCAGCTTGCAGCAGTCATTTGTTTTTTTACAGAGAGGGAGACATCTTGATTGTTTATGCTTGTAATTTAATGATAATATCAGGGGTTAGAGCAATATTTGGAGCAAGAGTGTGAGAAGCGGGGAATGCTTGTAAACAATTTATGTATCTTTCTAATTTTTTGGTGAATGTATTATTTGAATATAATTGGATTTGATATTGGAATATAATTAGATTGCATTGGATATGAAGGTGAATGTATTATTTGAATATAATTGGATTTGATATTGGAATATAATTAGATTGCATTGGATATGAATATAATTTGGTGTTCTGCAATATTGTGCATATGTACATGTGATATTAGATGACATGCAAAGCAGATTCTAAAAAAAATAGTTACTGTAGCATCCTAGACGAAAAATTCCGTCTAGGCTGCTTCTTAGATGGGAAATTCCGTCTAGGCTGCTTCCTAGACGAAGTATCCTAGACAGAAGGATTCCGTCTAGGATACTTACTAGACTGTTTTACATTCCGTCTAGAATATATTCCATCTAGGAAGCATCCTAGACGGAAATTCCGTCTAGAATACTGCATCCTAGACGGCAACATACTGAACGCACATCATAGACGGAATTCCGTCTAGGATAGTTTTCCTAGACGGAAATATGAGTATCCTAGACAAAATTTTCCGTCTAGGATGCGTCATTTTGTATCAGTGTCAGCTAAAGAAGTGTTGGGTTTTGATTGAGAAATATTAGGTTTTTTAAATAAAGGACACAAGCTCTGTTCTCATTAGGGGTTGTGAGGAGTTTCCTGCTGGTTGAAGTCAATTCTTTTGATGTAACATCTGCACTCAAGAGTAAATGGATTTTGAAGGTTTTGATACTTCTCTAGTAGAGCATAAAAATGAGACGCACAATCCAAAGGATAAAAGATAACTGCTGGCCTTGAGTTCGAGTGCGTAACTCGTACTCTTCACAATAATGGACCAAGAAAATATTAGTGGTCCGGAACTCGCCACTTCACAACCTGAACCTGAAAAGAAACCAGAAAAGGAAGATACGCATGTATTCATCACAGGTGACATAGCTAGGTGGGTAACAAACTATCTTATGGTGGGTAACAGATTTATCCTATCTCACAATACTACTGCTGGTGGCAACGGATAGGATGCAAGTTGGACATGGTATTATCAAAACTGTATGCGCTTGTTAATCATGATGTAGGGTTGTGAACATGATCCGGTAAAGAAAAATCCGTCGTCCATACCTACCAAAACTGAGATATGGTCACGACTTGAATAAGAAGAAATGAGATACAGAATGTGAACATATATCAGGGGGAAAAATATAAAGCTAAAAAATAATAATACCATGAAGCTGTTTAAATAAATAAAATTTCTCAAATAAGAGTTCATCAACATGTTTGAGATGTCTTGAAAAGGTTTGACCTCAAATCCACTAATCAAAGGTCAAATATTTTTCAATAGACTAATCGACAAACATGTCAGGCTATCCAAATCTTCTAATCCATATCCTACCAGATGTAGATATTTATTCAATATTATATATACGGGTAGATCACGTATATTCCACCTTTTGCACTCTTTCTGCTACGAGTGCTACCAAGAGAGTGAAAGTTTGAAGCTTCAGAATCATCATCATATCTGAACTAACAGTTACAATGGCATGCTCGGCCAACACCCCACCCAAGATACACGCACTGGCCGCCTTTCCTGCATCCACCATAGTGACACACATCTCTGCACGCTCTGTTCGCAACCGTGCTATCTGGGTCACAGCGCTCCACTGGGATGTTGCTGCAGCACCTCATCCCTGACGGATAATCCACCCAGTCGGAACCTTTTGATTGTGGTGTACAATCATTATCATAATCGTCAAACAGTTACTTCTTAGTTATAGGTTTAGAGGTAAAATATAAAGAAATGATAGAAATTTTTATCGAAGAAATGTACTCACTTGTAGCCATGAGCAAGCAGAGCAAAGTCATTGCTCTGAATATTGTAGCTGGAGATGCCATTCTTCACGTTGAAATGTGTCTAGGTTGATGTCTTTTGGTGCTATATATTTTTGTCATAGGATGTATTGGCTGGATTTATTTCTTTCTTTCCTTTTTCATTTTTTTTGGGTGCTTGCCTTTTTAGCCTCTACCAGAACCTCCATAGATTTATAAGGCATTATTATATACTATATAAGTTTTAGCTATAGACTAAATGCAATGTACCAAACTACAAGTTGGCAAGTGAAATGAGTAGGGTATTACAAAAATATGGGATATTGGCCATCTATGGAGGCATGCTAAAGATAGAAAGTAAAAGAAAGTGTTTTGTATTACCAGCTGCAAGCCATTTCAGGTATGAGCCTCTTTGATGGCTAATAATAGGGAAAATTGTTTCTTGTTTAGCAATAACGGAGATATTGCATTCTCATTTTGTTTACGGCATGTTCGACAACTGGAAAGTAAATGAAAAGTGAGCCAAAAATTAGAAAGTGACCGTAAAACCCCGCAAATTTTTTTAAAAATAGTATGGTAAACAGTATTAAATGAGTTATTTTATGATAAATATCATTTAATGATGAATGAGCATAATAATAATAATTGATTTGAGACCAATTAAGAGTATATTTGCATTATACATCGATGCAATTCGAATCTGGAAAAACGACCAGTTAAGAGTATATATGCATTACACACTAATATAGTTTGAATCTGGAAAAACTCAAAAGACAAACGTTGTAGGTATCTTAAATAGATTTCCAACACATCTTAAATCACCTCATTCCGACTTCGGACAAAAAAGTTACAGCTAAAATACCGAAGACTATTTTCCTAGTCTAACTGGGTTTCCTATTTCGGGTCAGATTTGCTTGTTTCGGGTTTGCCTCTATATATATCTGTATTTTTTATAAAAATTCCCTTTTACATCATATTTCGGAACCCTAACAGACACTCTCTCCCCTCAAAAAACCCTAGAGCATATTTTGGTCAATTTTGAGAGCTTTGTGAAACAAATACCGAGAAGAGGGCGAGATCGTCGGCGTTTGGCGAGGGAGAACCTGTTTGCTTGCACCCTTGGAATTTTCAGCAGCATGTTGAGGCAAGATCATCATCCTCCAAACCTATTCCATGTAGAAATTCATGTTTTTAATATGTATAATTGGTTAATCTAATGTGTAGTACTTATTTCGATAATTTTTAAATCCTAGTTTTGATGTTAAATCTTAAAACAACGAAGAGATCAGATCGAATAATTAATCTTTAATTGATTAAAATAGATGATCATGATCATTAGTTTTCAGATTAATCGATAATTCTTATTTTATATTGCCTAAACCATAATTGTCGATGTATAGAACTTGAGTCTTGAACATAAAACAATATAGTGATATAAGCTTATGGATTAATAACCCTAGTTTGATGTGTAGATCTGTGAATATAAATATTAAATGAAGGAAAGATATTAATTTGATGTTTAGAACCGTGGTTAATTGCTAAGATTATGAAATAATTAGGTTTTGAGCCCTAATTGTACAAACTTAATCTGATTAGTTATGTTTAAAGTATTTTTTAAACCCCAAAGTGTTAGACCCTAGAGGGGGGGTGATTAGGGTCTTATGCTAATCTAATCCGATTTTATGCCAATTAAAACTAGTTAACAAAATTATTCTTGCAAGATAGATATACAAAGAGTTAAGTGCAAGAATATGCAATATACACAAGGTGATATATCCTAGCAAAGAGGTATACTATATGATATATGCAAGGATATGCGAACACAAGGGTAACATAAACAAATGATATAGTGGATGAAATAAACAATGAGAGAAAGGCTATAAAGATGAACAAATATAAGTGTGCTAAGCCAAACTCAAACAAGCAATATGATCACGGAGTTCAGACCTTCCGTCCTACGTCTCCGCTCCCTACACCCGGGGAGAAAACTACTAACACAATCCGGTTTGGAAGCCGGAACTTCTACACACTTAGTTTTCTAGCTAACCGAAAACTCTACAACTCACACTCTTGCAAACCCACTCTACACTCTCACAAGTGTTTGACCTAGCCGTGTCTCCCTCAAGTGCTCGGTTATAACCTCTGCCTAGGTTCGTCAACCGACGCCACTCCTCTTGGGACGATCCCCGACTCTCACCATACACTCCTCTCGGTGTACAAGTGTATTACAAAGTGATCTCATGATTAAGCACAATACAAAGAATGATTGTTCTCTAATATGGATGAGAACATAATAAAAGCTCACACTCAAAAGTTACAACTCTCACCAACCCAAATATACTATGTATGCAAATTATAATAAGCTCAAGTGGGTGTGTGTAAATAATGAGTGAAATCAAATCAACTAAACTCAATATGAACACTAGCTTTAATAAAATGATAATCAAATAAATAGATGTAAAGCTAGAAATAGAGTTTAGAAAACTTCTCAATAGATCAAGAGGTGGAGGGAGAATAGTTGGATGCCCAAACACCAATAGATGATCTCCTCAAGCTCTTGTGAAATTAATTTTACAAACTCAAACTTCCAAATGCTTAAAAGCTTCTTAAACACACTTAAACCAAACTAAAACCCTTGTTAAAACTCTTTTAAACTTGGTTAAGAAACTCTATTGGTTGTTACTGAAAGAGGAGAGCAATGGGGTATTTATAGTCTCTCAAAACATCAGCAAAACCCAATAGAAAAGACCAAAAAGCTATCAGAAAACAGCTGGAAAAAAATGCAAACAGACATATGGAAATAACAGGTTTGAACAGTATTCTGATTTTAAAACCCTGTTTAAAAATATCAAATAAATTCCAAAAAATATAAAACTTTGGGGAATGATTGTAGACATGATAATAAACATGCTACAACGATGCAATTTCATATTTGTAATTTCATATAAAATATGTAAATCACAATAATAAATAT